TTTTATAAAGAACTGTAGTCTCTAATAGAACTATATCGGGAACTAGTACCTACACATGAATACTCATCAAGCTATACGTTACCAGTATAAACTGACCGTGGAATGCGCAGAAGGCTCACACAGAGGGAGACCATGTTAAATAGGTTTTGTATAGCTCTATATGTATGACGTATCAATATTTTGCTTCATTAAGTATGGAAGGTAGTCATCACAATGTTACACGAAGGTTGTTTATATCAGTTTTACAGGCAACAATACAAGGAACATCGCCGTTAATGACTCGAAGGTCAACGCCCTTTGTTCGGGTAAAATTAGGAATGGAATTAGAAGACATATTTGGAAACTAATGGGAACACGCTAAAGTATGGATGAGGTATATAGCAGGCATATATTGTTTGTTTGTTAGAGAAAAGACGTTTTCGTTTTCTTTACTAGTTCTCAGTGATTGGCAAAAAAGAATGACTAGGAATATTGACTAGGAAGATTAGAAGAAGACTGCTTCGTTGGCCGAGTGGTCGCAAGTGCGACTGCCGGGCAAGGGGTCTCGGGTTCGATTCCCGGGTCGGGCAAATATTACTGGGTTTTTAAAATTACTCTCAGTAGTAGCACGGAGTCTGGAATTGTGCCCGGTATATGGCAATAGGCTCACCCCCTATTACATGGGACTCATAACATAAATAGTGAAAAGTGGGTGTTACATTGTACAGTAACATAATGTACACCTCTGCCTACCCCTTCGGGGATAAAAGGCGTGATGATGTTATGTTGGAAGATTATTTAATTGCGTTTGTAAATTATCTTATAATTGTTACTATAATAAAAAATGAGGTACTGTTAATATACAACGTAATTAGTATTAAATGTTGTAGTCAGTGAATTAACTGCTCATGTGAAAATAGAATTGAAATTTTAATTCAGATTTTAAATACATTGTACACAAATAAAATATGTAATGTAAGCAATACTCGCCATTCATAGTACGCTTCCGAAATGCTAATTTAATTCAATCCAAAATAAATTATTAAAATTTAGGTTGATGTTTAATTTATTACTTAGAACAAAATGGGCCTGCAAGTATTTCGTGTGTGGTGAATTTAATTACCTATAGTTTAAACTGTCAAACACCAAGCGGTCACCGGTGACCGCAACCTATTGTTCTATAATTGTGTCTACAAAACCGGTACTCGATGAGTTAAATTAAAAATATAAATACCTCTAGTATTAATTAATAGTGTCAGCTTTCTGGGTACTTTCACTATTGACGTCGATACGGACGAATTTAGTGATACTCACTGTAATATACCTCTAGTCTTTTTTAGTTTTTTTTATTTAATTTTTGTATTACTTACTTTTAGTGTATCTTAAGTTATAAACATTAAGTTTTTTCCTATCCTTATATTGTAGAGTAATAGATATGTATACACAATAAATAATTAAATCTTACAGCAGTTTCCAACTGATAATAACTAGTAGTATTTCTAGGAATGTTATGTTTTTTGATGAACTAAAATGAATCGGTAAAAAAACGAGCGCTAAGATTTTTAAAATTTTATTTCATCGTGATAGTAAATAGACGTAGGGATGTAAATAGTAATTGTACAATATACATAATAGACCATTATAATGTACATTAAAATTATGAGCATTTATAATTATAACAATAGTGATCATTCAGAGATATGTACAACTTTAATTAATAAAATTCTAAATATGGTATGCATTCTAATATCATGTAAAAGCTACACTATAATTTAAAATTACAAAATAATTTTAATGGTGTAACATCTAAACCTTTAGCTTTAAATATTATAATTTTAGAACATTGTCGAATTGAGAAAATTAACAAAAAATAGTATCAATTTATACCAAACAATGACAAAAAACGTACATAAATAAGGTTAAAAATTATATCTCATTTAAATTTAGCGAATATTTGAATTAAAATTTAATAGATAAAAGAATAAAGGAATAGAGAAACATCAAGATTGGCACAAGACAACTTCAATCATACGCAGATTTTAATAAAAAACATTATTAGATTAAATTCAGTTTTTAAAACGATTCAGAATTGACAAAAACAATGTTCATATTATTCACTCTAAATTTACACACAAAAATCGATTTGCGATATGGTTTTTAGAACAGCAATCGATTCAAAATATTTCATTATTAATTTTAAAGTGTACTATGTTTTAATAAACTAGGAATATCTTTTTAATTCTAAGTATTTTTCGTATTTCATTATCTATTATGATAAGTTTTTGTAAATACGAGATTTCGTTATCTATCTTTCTTACCATATCGACTACAAATTGATTCTTACAGAAACCATAGGAAATAAGGTCTGTACACTAATAATTATTCTATAATAATTATTCTACTAAATCTATCAATCAAAAAGTACAATATTCATGTGTATCTACGATTTGGGATTAAAATTGACGACTATATTATTAACTATTCTATTAAATATATCGATTATTGAAACTGATCTTCGGAAGGGTTTTACAGCTATATGAGATGAAGATACTTTCAAAATGGCGTAACTATTTAATTTTTATTTACTAATGTCTAAAGCGCTTGAAACGGAGTTCCGCGATGTGGATCTACATTTAGAACGAACAAAAAGAATTGTTAGATGAGTAAATAAAATTAAATTTATGAAATTCCCGGCACAAATGATGACCAGATTTTCACGTGGTGAGGGTAAATTCGCGCATTATCTATGTTCTAAATATTTGTCATCAATATACGGTTCCAATCTGCATTTACACATGGTGATTAATGCTCAAATCTTTGTGTGAGAAGAGGCCTTTGGTCAGCAGTAGCCACTTATAGGCTGTTGTGTGATACGTAAATGGTAGGTAGTATTTTGTTTTAATCATGTCTTCTTGGTAGACAGTTAACTAAGGAACGAAACAAGGAATTTAGAGCTTGCCAGAAAGAATTGGAATAAATCAGGTTACTATTATTATACCTGTACACTACGACGCACCCAGATTTGACATTATTATCGAGTTTAAAAAGAGTACGTATTATGTTCGGATGATTCTTTATTCTTGTGACATGGTCCGAAGTGAGTGATTCAGTCCAAGTTAATATTATATAGTTCTAGTTGTCACCGCGTACCCTTTTTTGTCAAGTTATATGTGATAATTAAATGGGAAAATACACAAGTACACAGTGAACAAAACTAATTTCTATAATATCAAAATCTAGCCATTATTCACACCGGGAAATATAACACTTAAGTCATGTGCATCATACTACTATGAAAATTGATGAAGGATAGTCTATACATAGTGGAGGGAATAATATAGTCTTAGCTTCGAAATAGGTATTATTAATTTCAAAATATTATTATAGGATTTTGGAAAAACTCCGTGATTTGGATTTAAGGCCTACTGTGACATGTCCTGTCCATCTGGTCCCTAATCACCAGTTCAGATTCATACAATTAGAAAACCAACAGTTTTTATTAGTATAGAAATATAGACTAAGTATATTAATTTCTTTAATAATAATTAGTGCCTTCAACGTACCTAATTATTTACAAAATCATGAATTAATGTTTACCAAATAATAATAATTATCGAGATCTAATTGACATGTCCAAAATATTCTGTGATTTCATGATTCGAAAAAGAATTCAAATAATTCTAGGAAAATACACAAAGTATTACAGGGTAATTTTCGTTTTGAAATATGAAAAGGAGAAAAAAGAAAGGTAGACAAAGTTGAAGGATAAGATAATATTAAAATCTAGATGTACGATATAGTATGTTACACACATTTATATTATTTTACAGAGCTCTACAATGACTTCCCATCACACAGAATCCCCTTACCAATACAACCTTACATTCTAACACACCATGTGCAGATAATACATTTCATTGGACCAAAGTTCAACCTTCAAATCATTTCATAGATTCTACCGCTACATAATTATACTAAATACATGCAAAATCTTCCCATACCTACATGCGATACAAAATTTTATACGCATTATAATTATACTCACAGTGAACTAGCAACTAAATTAAATGAAAAAGTCTAAGACACTGCAGATTATTATTTTATACAAGATAATTTAGGTAATACTTATATCAAGATTGCTTATAATAATGTTATAGACACTTCCAATAAAGTTAAAAGTGGCACTGTTAATAATATTAGTATAATTAGTAAAGTTATTGTGCAGTCCTTACGCTATCAAGGTGATTTAAAAGTCTAATCGATTACTTAACACTCAATAGACACAGGAGATTAGATACAAAAATATCAATGTTAGGATTAAAGGAAACACACCACGCTATGCCATGGTCCCTCATCAAGACACACAATAAGAACTTCAGCGGATAGTCTTCGTTGTGACGCCGCAGAGTCTGAACCAGCCATTCAAAAACACACACTATCACAAACAGAAAAGGTTTATAGTAGTCCAGTGCAGTGAAGCTATACTAGTCGTCTGCTTAGGGACTTTGTGCGGGGCTGGGCCAAGGCGGCCTAACCTTTTCCAGCACGTATTTCAGCTGGAAACTGGTATGGAAATGCTACAGATACTCATCTATCTGGTCGTAGTCTTCATCTGGGGGTGACGGACCAGATACTGAGAGGATTGGTAGACCGAAATGTTTGACAGTCTCCACGCTTCCACTGATACTGTCATCAGATTTGGCTTCTTCGTTGATTGTGTCCTCTCTTGGATGTTTGCCTTTGCAAAGTCTCTCGGATGAGTCGCTTAATGCTGTTAAAGGTATGTTGTCTGCGGATCTGTAAGAAAATATTCGTATTAATTAAACTTAAACTTAAAATTTGAGCTCTCATGCTGGTTTTTGTAACAGAAGCTGAAGAAAAAACCCTTCAAAACATCTCATGAATACATGGAAAAAATTATGAAAGCCATTTTTAATTCAATTATTGTGGTAAATTGAAAATATGTATGCTTCACTTTTAGCATTTGATAATTTTAATACTTAATACTTACCTAGCTTTACGACAAAGTTTCGACTGAGACCCATGTCGTCTCAGAAACTCGCCAGCATCGAAGCCTGGGAAACCGCCTGCAGGCTCGGCTGACACGAAAATTGCCGAATTGACCCGAGGACGACTGCATCGAGCCAATAACCGCTCCTCACACTCCAAGCTCTGTGTGTGCGTGTGTGACCACCGCATGTGCTGCAACAGGAGAAAAAAAGAAAGTTAATAATAATAAAATAATATCAATATCCTCAGCTATGGAGAAAAATCCAACTCGTTGAAGTGGTCCATCTCCGTGTTCTAAAATCTCTAGCGATAAAAATAAAAAGAGAATAAAAAGTGAAAGATATAAAAAGTTGAATAAGTACAAGAAAGAAAAGAAAGTGCTCAAAAATCATTCCAAAAAGACAATTCATAACAGGTGAGGAAAAAGTGTGTAGTAGCTGTTTGTGGACGTAAAAATATTGAATAGAAAACCATTCTCAATTGGAAATTCCCATCATTCTTAAAACACTGAATGATGGTTTTAATCAAATCGATATCTTTCGTAATGGAACAGAAGATTTCAAAGTTGACTAAACTCCAACAGATAATTTGGTATTGTTACATGACTCAAATTTTATCTTGAATCTCTATATAAAAATTGTAAATGTAGAATATGATACTAAGTTTGAACATTACAATCAAATAATCCAAAGAGGTTTTACTAAAAGTAAATTATGTAAAAGTCAAAGAGAAGAATGAAGTAAAATAGAAATAAAAATATGGAACAAAGTTGTAAAAACAATTGTCGTATTAGATAACAACTTTTGAACAAGATCTGCCAACCAGTGTCGTGTAACTTCAAGGGAAAAGTTTTGAAGTTGACCCGCATGATACTTGGGAAGATAAATTCAATATCCTATACAATTTCGTGATCTCTAAACATCAATCTAAAACTTGAACGGGTACGTGTGAAATTGGCAACGACCCACGTGAACTTTGGGATTTAACTAGCTATCTATCTTGTGCTCAATATTTGAGGTATGTGTGATCCTTCATATGATCATTTTATTACTTATCGTCTTTGCTTTCACTTTCTTTATTATGTCTCATTTGTAATTGATTCTTATCTTTCTCCTACATTTTTTTGTCAAATCTTTTTTTTGTTCATGACCATATCTGTATTTTTTTTCTATTAGTAAATTACGTATTCTTTTGTTCATGTCAAGGTCAATTTATTTCAATTAGATCAGGTATTTTTGAACGTCATAAAGTCTCACAGTTTGTTAGACTTTCTGTAACTTACAAGTGACAATACTTTCAAAATAATATTCTAAGCTAACAGTTGCGTGTTTACGTGACCTTATCTATACACTGAAAAATACGGAAGCTATTCTTTGATACAAAATTATTGACAAAAAAACAAGTATAATAACATTAATAATTGAGAATTATTCTTTGCGTGTCACCGGAACGTCAATGCGACAAGCATGCGACGCTTGTGACATCAACAAACCCACGATCAAAGTGAAAATACACTTCGAATTCAAGTAACTCAAAACAATTTAATTATTAAAGGCATAAAGTTGATTTTTGCTTAACTTTTAAGTCCTTGTCATTGCTGAGCACGCGATTCACGAGTTTCGGAAGGAAAACTTTTGTTAGGATAAATGTTTGTGTTTGCATATAAATTAATCATTGTTTGTTAAGGATTGAATCCCGTCACAGTTTATGGGAAAATACATACAAATATTATCAAGTTATGCGCTACATAAACTTATGATTCGATTTCAATCTATACAGACAAGCCCTAATGAGTTATGGAAAAACAGATTCTATCATTTACATAATAGTTTTCAATTTTCAACAAAACTATGTACAATCGTCAGTGACGTGTCAATTTTTTACTGTTACTAATGTTCATAGCGATTACTTTAACAGCTTAAACGTTACAAGGGTGTTTGAAACTTGTATTATTTGCCTATGGCCGTCGCGTGCAGCCATCGACAATGGGAATGTGGGACAGGGTTTCACTTAAATTTTTTATTAACACTAGGCACTGTTTCACCTGCTTTTATTTACATCGAAGGATGAATGACCTAGTGCCTGTTATTTCTGTTCTATAATAATAACCTTAACGTTATTACAATAAGGGTAAAACGTTATACGCTGTTCTATAAATGTTTTCTTTAGATTTATGGTGCGAGGCGTGTGTTATGTGCGTAATTATAGCGTGCTTGTGATTTTTTTATGTCTTTAGTGTTTCATCGTATCAGCACATCGTCCTTGATTTTTCTGAGGAGGTACATATCTATGTCACCCTGCACTTACGCAGAGCATTATTATTTTACTATACAAAAAGTGTAAAGTAAGATGATTGGAACAATATTAAACTGTCAAACACCAAGCGGTCACCGGTGACCGCAACCTATTGTTCTATAATTGTGTCTATAATGACGGTACTCGACGAGTTAATACAGATACATATGGTCAAATGCCAATCTATTAAGTTTAAACATACATAAAATGAATACCTACCAAACCGATAAAGATTTCATGTCATAAATATTGTAATTAGACATCAGAATGTCATGTGTTGGTTTACTAATAATTACTTTTTTCTAACATTTTTATAATTCCATATAGACTACATTTACAAGCCTTTGCCCTCGGCTCTGCGTGCGTTTATGTTACATCGAAATTTCATATTTTAAACTATTGAAAAAATCCCATCAAAACGTAGTTTTAAAAATCTAAACAAATATAGGGACAAACAATTGCCGAATTAGACTTTGTTTTATACTATGTAGTGATTATGACTGACCTAACTGACAGCTGTTTTACTTTTGTCGCTTTTTTGTACGTGATTTTTATTTTGTCATAATGATTGCGGAAATGTTTCAATATTTTTTTCTTTGAGAAGTTTTTCTTTGTATCTAGAGGTACGATTCCCAAAGATAATCGTTAATACTTATTTGGCTCCATAATTAATATGTATTTGACTTTAAAATTTGGACTGCCTTGTTGGTCGAGTGGTCGCAAGTGCGACTGCCGGGCAAGTGGTTTCGGGTTCCATACCCGGGTCGGGCAAAGTATAACTGGGTTTTTAAAAAATTCTCAGTAGTACTACGTAGTCTGGAATTGTGCCCGATACATGGCAATAGGCTCACCCCCTATTACATGAGACTTATAACATAAATAGTGAAAAGTGGGTGTTACATTGTACAGTGGCATAATGTGCACCTCTGCCTACCCCTTCGGGGATAAAAGGCGTGATGTTATGTTAATTATTACTTGACAAAAGTATTTTTTTTACTACGTAGTTAAATAATATATAATAACCGACCTACTTTTTTAATAGGTCTCAATTCAATAAATTTTATCAATAAAAATAAAAGCATATTTCGTACGCGGTAAAAGCTTATTAAAACAAATAATTTAAGGCAAAACGTTTCAGAATCACTGATTGAATTCTTAATTAATATGAAAATTTTACAAGACATTTGTAACGGCATGCTTCAGTTTTACTTCCTCCAGTAAAATTTCAATGCGGAACTGAAAATTTCGAGTTAATTATGTACTATTGTAAGGGTATTAAATTATGTTATTCGGTGTTATTTATTGACGCTTTACAGATTTCTGTTGACGATTATACAACACACGTATTTTGCCAATAAACTTGAAGAAGTAATTAAAATAAATAATTAATTTCAAGTTACGTAGCATTAACTTTATAAATGTACAAATACCTATTGATTCTTTAATATTATTGAATTATTGATATTGGTTGTTAATAGCTTGTTTTGTTGATTTTGTTACTGAATGAGATAATGATATAAGATATTGGTCGCATTTTTTAAGATTTATATATACAATTATAACTAAATTGCTTTTTTCAATTTCTATCGATGGTGTATAATGCTATGTTCCTCACCTATGTTACTTTGTGCAATCATTTTGAATTACTCAGGCCCAAACTTTTACTTCTAACTATCTACGCATCATTAATCAGGTCTTCACATTCTTACTTCCTAACAACAACTTCATAAACTTTAATGCAATCTCAAGTCTTAATCAAATTTATAAGCTAATTAGCATCATTATTCAGAAATTGCAACTAAATAATCAAATAAGAAAACTTAATTAAAAATGGATCTTATATCATTTTTTGCAACTTATTACTCTATAAGGACGGAGTAATTCATTTTAAAATGGTGGACTTATTAAGTCAAATAGGAAGCGGGAACATTGTTTGGAGTTCCCAGGAAATTCGATTATTAACTTCGGAAGGTGTATAGAGCCTTTATGCAATCAGTACGGATAGCAAAACCTGCAACTGACGCATGTTGCAAGCTGTATTATGTAATTTGACAAGGGAATATTGTTCCAGTACATCAGGTTTTATTAAGTCACTAGTATTCGGTTACGTTTGGATTGGAGACGTTTTGCCTTATGTAAGTGAAGGGGAATTACGATGTCATTATTATGGCCTAAATAAAAAATGTATTTAAAATATACTTAAAGTTTATTGTAACTATTCCAGCTCAATATAAATTAACATACATGAACATTGAACATA